CGTACGAGAAAAATGACACATTTTTACAGAGTACAAAAAAAATATTTGATTGATTACGTTGTACGTCTAGCCTGTGATTACAGAATTACGAAATTTATTTTTTCTATTTACGTTGTACGGACAAAAAAATATTGCAATTACGTTGAACGAAAATAACCCTTGCCCCCCCCCCTCGTTTGACAAACCCTGGGGCAGCCATGTTTGTTTTTTTATTATTAGAGGACGCTTACGCGCGTAATCGTTCTATATTTGGAATTCGCGTATAAAATACCGCAAAATTACGACGCACTGTAACTATGGCGTTACGTTGACGTTACGATGTATACTATTTTTTTTTATTTCGAATCATGAACAAAAGACACCATTTGTCTTTGTTGTATTCAGTTTGACGATTCACTCATAATAACGTCCGTATTTCCCTGTAATACGGGATGAAGAGATGGAGACAACACTCAATGCGAACACACGCAAAAATAAAATTGCGCTCCGAACCAGGAATTTTAACCGCCTACATGCTGTGTGTATTGTGCATATTATTATTCCATGATAGTAGCAACAAAAGTAAACTTTTGATCAATGACAAATACGTAAACAAAAGTATTCGTGTTGTAGCTGGTGATACTGTAATTGCCGTAGTGAAACATAACAAACGCCCAATATGAGTGTTATGTTGTACGAATCGTGTCTATATTAATATATCATGAATGAAGTTCATTTTTATTAAAAGAATACTCACTCGTTGAGTTCATTTTGAAATTTCCATCATTTGGATTAGCAAACATTACACAGAAATAATCATCTTCATCGTCATCTACAGCTTGTACATCAAATATGGCCGACCCTCCTGAACTCTTTTCACCAATCTGTATAGTGTCGTCTAGATTAGTAATATCGGGACCTGTATTGACATCTGTCACCCAAACTGACAAGACTTTACTGTCACTGAGACCATCCGGATCTTCAACGTAAACAGTAACAGACCAATAGTTGCGTTCAAGAAAGTTTAATCCCGGGATTACCACTTTAACATTTCCTGAAATCAGATACACATCGGTTATAAATAACACATTGTGATTTCGAATTGCAAACTACACGTGTATGTTGCTGAAGAAACGTTATACTGTCACTACCTAATGTGTCTATACTAAATGGTCCATTCGCAGGGGTGGATGACACCATAAACGTAGGGGTACCAGCCGGCACAATATCAATATCTGCCCATTCCACAAGGAACACATTACCCAACATGGATTCTGGCACATAGATCGTGCTCGGCAAATTGGTTATCGAGATTGGTTCATTTTCGTCTACTATGGCAACCGTCAGTGTAGAGGTCGTTGACCCTCCATTGTTGTCAGCAGCCTCAATATATAATTCGTATGAGGTTGGTCCAGTCTCAAAATCAAAGCCTGGGAAAGGTGCATTCTGAATATCAGCAACTGTTGAGATAACGAAAACACTTCATAAAAATGTGCAAAAGTAGTAAATAGACCGATGAAAATGATATATGGTAGACAATATTTGGTACTGATTAAACATATAATGTACAAACATGACGTCTTATAGAGAAGTGAGAAGGGTTCCCAGATTACGGCTGGGTGCCGTTTCCACGTGTAATACTTGTCATTCTATTACATATTTTATTTCATTTATTTTGCGCCAAAGGAGATGTTATCAAAAATTAACTCAGTTGCAGAATACGAATATAATTTAATACAGTATGACTACAATCAAAGCAGCTATATTAGTTATATCATTACCCGCATTTCAACTACATGAGTACATCGTTCTGATTGGCCGTGAGCGGTTTGCTGCTTTCATGTTAGTGCAACCCGTGGTAGACGATATACCAAATAACCACCCAAACCGAATATAAAAATATATTAAACTGTTCTGTTACAAATTGAATTGTTCATTTTTTTCCTACACGTATAAGTTACGCTCACTGCTACTGTTGTTTAAACATGACAACATATTGGAACATATTAATATAAGTAATAATTACAATGAGAGTGTTAAATGATGTGATATTGACATGTATATGAATACTGTTATACTGGTATGTACCATACCGGTAGTTCATGTGTTATTCACTAACTTTAAATGCTATAGAAATACAACTGTAATCACAATTAAAGCAAGCTATTTATACATTGTTTCAGAGCGGTTAGCGAGGAGTATTGTTTTTTATTATGTTGTTAACCACTATATTTTTCTTCATATATATTTTGATAGACAGAGAATAATATTCACATTGGCCCAAGCAAAACTATCTCTTAATCCACACGCTACTAAAATAAACTAACCGGCATTGGACGTTGCGACATCGTACACGACTGGACCAATTTGAAAAGGTGCACCGAACGGGTCGGTCCCAATAATGTTAAACGTTATAACCGTCAGCGGCGAATCGTCATCAGTAGCCGTCACCATCATAAAGGTTTCAGATTCCGTGACAAGTTCTCCAATGCTTCCCACATTCACAAAATTAACAAAACGGGGAGGTTCGACCGCATTTGCTACTTGCACCGTCAAGGTGCCGGTGACGGCTGCAACGGCAATGTCATTCTGATCGACCACTGTTACTTCTAACACGTACTCTGGCTCTGTTTCAAAATCGAAACCTGGAGGAACAACTGCCCGAATTTCTGCAGTATTTGATGCCCCTATGGGACCTGTTAAAATGAATGTATTAATAGAACAATGTAATTAACAACAACAGCCTGGTGAATAAAAAGATTGTATATATGCATTCTTTGTAATGCAGATGGTAAGTCTCATTCCTAGTATTGGGTGGCTATATAAACACGTGTTTGTATTACGTCACTATATAACCACGTGTTTATTACGCCACTATATCACGTGTTTGTGTTACGTCACTATATAAACGCGGGTTTGTGTTACGTCACTATATAAACACGTGTTTGTGTTACGTCACTATATAAACACGTGTTTGTATTACGTCACTATATAAACACATGTTTGTATCACGTCACAATATAAATACGTGTTTATTACACCACTATATAAACACCTGTTTGTATTACGTCGAAATGTAACCACGTGTTTGTATTACGGCACTATATAAACACGTGTTAATATTACGTCACTAAATAACCACGTGTTTATTACGCCACTATATAAACACCTGTTTGTATTACGTCGGTATGTAACCATGTGTTTGTATTACGTCACTATATAAACACGTGTTTGTATTACGTCACTATATCACGTGTTTGTGTTACGTCACTATATAAACGCGGGTTTGTGTTACGTCACTATATAAACACGTGTTTGTATTACGTCACTATATAAACACGTGTTTGTGTTACGTCACTATATAAACACGTGCTTGTATTACGTCACTATATAAACACGTGTTTGTATCACGTCACTATATAAATACGTGTTTATTACACCACTATATAAACACCTGTTTGTATTACGTCGAAATGTAACCACGTGTTTGTATTACGGCACTATATAAACACGTGTTAATATTACGTCACTAAATAACCACGTGTTTATTACGCCACTATATAAACACCTGTTTGTATTACGTCGGTATGTAACCATGTGTTTGTATTACGTCACTGTATAAACACGTGTTTGTATTACGTCACTATATATAAACACGTGTTTGTGTTACGTCACTATATAAATACGTGTTTGTGTTACGTCACTGTATAAACACGTGTTTGTATTACGTCACTATATAAACACGTGTTTGTGTTACGTCACTATATAAATACGTGTTTGTGTTACGTCACTATATAAACACGTGTTTGTATCACGTCACTATATAAATACGTGTTTATTACACCACTATATAAACACCTGTTTGTATTACGTCGAAATGTAACCACGTGTTTGTATTACGGCACTATATAAACACGTGTTAATATTACGTCACTAAATAACCACGTGTTTATTACGCCACTATATAAACACCTGTTTGTATTACGTCGGTATGTAACCATGTGTTTGTATTACGTCACTGTATAAACACGTGTTTGTATTACGTCACTATATTAACACCTGTTAGTATTACGTCGCTATGTAACCACGTGTTTGTATTACGTCACTATTTAACCACGTGTTTTTTACGCCACTATATAAACACGTGTTTGTGTTTCGTCATTATATAAACACGTGTTCATATTACGTCACTATATACACACGTGTTGGTATTACGTAACTATATAAACACGTGTTTGTGTTACGTCACTATATAAACACGTGTTTGTATTACGTCGATATATAAACATGTGTTTGTGTTACGTCACTATATAAACACGTGTTTGTGTTACGTCACTATATAAACACGTGTTTGTATTACGTCGCTATGTAACCACGTGTTCGAATTACGTCACTATATATCCACACGTTTGATTGTGTCCCTATATAGCTCATAACAGTCAACTTCATGTTCACTTACCCTGTACAAACAAGAATGGGGACATGGCTCCGGGGTCAGGGGTTATACTTTCTAATACATAGAAATATTGTGCAGCTCCTCCTTGTCCAGTGGCGTCAATGTTTGTGTATACCACCTCATCATCGGCAATTGTCTCAGTCACAGTAACCACTACTGGTGTATTTAGGCCTCCAAAATTTAAACCTAGAGAATGTAATACATTCTATTGACTAATTTCAAATATAGTTAGTGTCTTTAACAATAATCAACCGACTTTAGGATTTATTGGGAATACTTGAGTTAAAATACAGCGACGAGGGCATAATATTGGTATGGAAATGATCTATATCTTGACGCTTAGTCTTCTTTGATGCCCACATTCAACAATTTGAACGATGCTGTACAACGAAATTATTCCATAATGTATGCAAGTATCAGTACAACGTGTCCGTGTCGTGCCAGTTTTTATAATGGTATCATATATATATATGTAAATTATAGTGAAATGCCAGCAGGAAGTACCATGTCATAAATTATGAAGTAAAGTGTTGGCAGCTGCCGAGATATCCTGGAACGTTAATACGTGCATACTTCACATGTTTTAAAAATAATAATACCATATTCCCTTTATTTCCTTGCAAGCACACGTATTTGTATGTCGAATATTAAATTAAATTTATTATCAAAAGTATGATTACCATTAATTCCTTTAATATTTTGTCTACTCTTTAACAACGGAAACACATAATAATTACTAGAATATAGCAAATGAAATGAAATTACAGCAAATAGTTAATAAATGTTAGTTAATGGTCCACTAACTTAAAACACATCATAAGATCAAATATACCACCATATACACAAACTAGCGGCAAGTCGAATGCATTTCTGTCAAATACCAAATATTCTTTTCAGAAGCGATTGAGGTATCCATGCATTGCAAATCTGATTTAACAACAGCGTATTCGCACGTCAGTTATCATAAAAATGTATTACATAATGGAGTTTAACACTGAGTATGTGATAAGTCTGTTTAATACACGAAATACTGCAAACACGGCAGGTATGTTATCTACCAGGGCCCCTCTTTATTTTGTTAACGTGTATGGAAATTCCATTCAATTTTTGGTTTTCAGAAATTAAATGATGTCCGGATACTTGATATCATAACATGTAAATATATGTAACTTGATTGAATAGCGAAGTTTCTGCTTCACAATTGCATCTTTCAAAGCAATAATCTAAACTCTCAATTAATGCGGCAGTAGTATGAATAATTAACTCAGAACACCGGGGAATTATTGTGATCATGTTGTTTAAATTATGTATGTTCTCTGTTAGATTGTATAAATTACACAATGTACTTCACACTATTGTTTATGTAATTGCGATATTTATTGTATAGTATTAAACTTGGCTGATATGCAAAACATACGAAACGCAAAACACTAATTGTTTTATAAATATTTTATAAATTTCCATAAAAGCCGTTTACAGGTAAAACAACGGCGAGAATGTGTCCGTGCATAAAATAGAATAAGGCTGCCTCTGTCAAAGATTATTACACTTCGATCCCCGTGATGTTCCATCTTTTCATTTTCAATAAGCAAAAAGTCAAAATACCAAGATGACAAGTAAAATTGGTAATAGACGAAAAAATGCACATATACACAACAACGAGTGCACATGCGCATTAGAGAATACTCAGACTCGTGGTACAAACCAACGTTTTAAAATAATGATAAATCATAGTAGTGTAATGTATCTATCAATATACAAACAACAACAATACTGAAAATTACATGTTCTCGACCATGGATGGGATTAGGATGTTGTGAACGAAACATAGTTTGTGGAGGCTAATTTTCGTTTTCGCGTAACTCGTGTAAAAACGGATACTTCGCAACACTCGTGGGAAAAAAACGTACATTGAGGGGAGTCTGTCATAATGTCTTCTTGATTTAAAATCTCTTAACGTAGATCATGTCAGTCTGATACTTGGCATATTATTGATTTTATTTTCATTAACGAACGAACGAACGTGACAGTATGGACATATGTTGTATCTGGTTAAAATAACATCATTAATCCTGGAGTAAATTACTTGTGAAACGATACAATAGATTTTATCGTTCTCAGCGCATATCACTATAATAACACAAGATTAGTGATCCTAGACTGTAACGAGCATGTCATGTTCCTTAGCGAATTGTATTTGTTATTCCGAACATACCTCAATTGCTAGTCACCAAACATCAGTGCTATATCATTTGATTTCAAATCGAACCTGAATTTTCTTACAAACCTACGTCATCTCTACACGTGTACCTTAGAGTGCACTTAAATGTGTGAAATTTTTAAATTGAATGGTATTTTGTTGAAAGCAAATTATGTTTTTTTGTAAAGTAATTTTCCTGTCTCTGAAATTAGTTTGAGTTCACACACTAATGCATTTGCGAAACAATCAAACCAAACAATGCACACAAAATCCAATTTGCTGACAAAATCTCGATACCCTGGCAAATATAATTAAACAGTTAAAAAAACGGATATTGTGCGTGGACTCCGCTGCGACTGATAATTGCAATGATATTGGTATAAAATAAACCATGATAAGGTCTGTACATATGATAATAAGTGTGAACCATTGGTCACATACAAATGAGCAAAAAGGAAATAACCGTCATAGTTTGTATGACAACTTTCATTGTATCTTTTGACGCATGTAACGTGGATGACTTGCTTTTGAAGTCTGCCTGAATTTTGTTGTTTCTACCTTAATATTTAAATGAAATTACCCAAATCAGTCATCATCTCATTACTCGATTTCATGGTAGGTTATAATAAAACGCTTCAATGATGTTTCTCTGTGAGTTCACGTACGTATTAGGTGAATATCAAGGAGACAATACCGTGTTTAGTAATGACCGCTAAAAGGTGGCTGACTTGCCTATCAATTTCACGTTTCACAGCACGAACGCATAATGAGGCTGTAGTGCCCATGGACTTCCTGTTTTCAGCAATATTGATGTTCAAGGCCTTTTGAAGATGATAACAACTGAGGAAGATAAGACCCGGTTGGCATGGCGACGGCTATTTCAGCGTCATCATTTCAATCGCGGATTAAAATGCTTTTATTTCAAAACAATTTACGGTCGTAAGTCATGTTAACGTGTGTAATAAAATAATCACGGTAATGTGGTTATTAACTAACACAGGTTTACTCGACGATGAGTTGAGTATATGTCATTTGCATTTGGGCTCACAAATGTCTAGTTACGCTTTGCAAACTACAATGTTAAATGTTATATTTCCACAAAGATAAGAGTTACTCGTGATCACGTGATATGTTAACACTGACTACACTGATACAACACGTTCAAGAAATAATAGTAGAACTAAATAAGTTAAATAAATGATGGAACACGTAATAAAATAGACTGAGAAGAAGAAGTTATAAAAGTGGCGATAAAGTTGTCATTTAACATTTCTGAGATAAATGTATTATGATAATATACTTAACGTTGAAGCGAAAACACATCAATCCTAACTGTAGATTTTTAACTTGTCAAACAGATTGCGTATATAATATTCAACTCTGCGTGGGAGCAATCATAAATTACATACGCCGGACGTAGCTATCTATTTTAGTGCTCTGTAACACTAATAATTAAAACACGACTATTTAAGATTTAAACTATAATATTTGACACAACCTCAAACCATATATCAGATCAAATATTGACTACATCTTTACATATATACACAGATATTATAAATTACCAAAATGACATAATGACATATACTCACTGGCGTGCCCACTATATGTTAAGATACAACCAAACAGATACAATAGTGCACTCTTCATCTCTGTATTTCAGGACACGGGACGTAGCATCTATTCGTTTTACAATGCACCTATATATAGTGTTTCTTCAGTTCAAGCATGGACGCGTACTCAGTAGAGAAAAAAACCAAATTCATCATATGTGTTATTGTGTTGGACCCCCTAACTTTTCTATTAGTATTCAAGTTCATTATCGCGTTCCATGACAATGTAGGTGGATGGTTCGGATATGCGGGATGCAGTGTGGTACAGAAATGACAGAATATCCCGTTGTAGAATACAAAATAAGCTTTCACGTATAAACCGATAATATCACGTGGTACATTTTCGAACAATAACATTAAGCTTCCATTAAGTTAGGGTTGCAAAATCAATCAGGAACGTTTTTCAGCGCTCAAGGTAAACATAATCGATGAAAAGCGTTTTTCATCAAGTAGTTTAGATACAAGATTACTTTTTAATCTGTTTTTGTACCCAAATTGTGATACGAAGGCTTCTCTCTATACAAGACACTAGTATACAGTAGTTTATTAGTGTCTCGGATGTTTTCAAATTCCGAAACAATGATTTGCGGAGCCGCAAAATCATCACCAGCTTTCTGCCATTTGAACATACCATGCAGAGTTTAACAAAACACTGTGCATATAATGGTATACTGACACATAAATTGCTTTTTGCTGGTCCATATTTCAAATATATACATACCATTTGTGGCTTGGTAATGTTCCGTCGGCGGCACAAAAGTCGATCGAACTGGCGAGTATTAAACAATGCAACAACAGTATAGAATCATTAACTTACATACGAAATACACAAGCATGTGTCGATTAATTATCCCGAATGACATTAACTGTGGATATTTAGTTGTATATCAACAATCGCCGTATGAATTTTTTCTAGAACCATTCATCTCCACACCTCCGTAGCCGTAAAGCGTGATCTACGCATGTTAATAAAACCAATCGGGCTGATAAATGGAACAGTGATCATTTGGTACTGATCAAGGGGCGCGCAGGGGGAATCTGGAATAGTAGAAAGATATGACACGTTATAAACCGTCCCATAGGGAAATGCAATGAGGTACATATATACAGAGTCAACGGAATTGTTCATTTTCATTCCCAAGTTAGGAATATGACACACGGACAAATTGTGGTAAATCCGATCGCCAAGATAATTTTTTTGAAATAAAAGCAAAAGACTTCAACACAACCTTTTACAATCATGAAAACACATTACCAGGAGCAGCATATTTTTTTTGTTCGTTTGGACTTTACAGAGTGTAGTTTATTTGGTTGTATAGTATTCAAATATATTAAAACTAATACAGTTTGCATGTTTTTACCTTTGGACACCTTTAAATTGTTGATAAATTATAAGTGTTTGAATTGTGTATAATGGCGTCACATTTCATTCAATTGACAACCATATATTAGGTCGTAATTGACTTCAGGGAAGTTCACTAAACATACGTAAATAGTCCGCCAGTTGCTAGGATACATAATCAATCAAATTGAAAACATTAATCGAGACGTATCAAACAGCACTGGGTCGTCGACATTGTGCGAATGGGAAGCTTAGATCGTTTAAACTGCAATCTAAATCAAAGAAATCTTAGAAAAAACTCCATGTGCTATATTTATATTACCACATTTAATATTACTACAAAATGTAAAAAAAAAATTTTTAACAAGAATACCCGTCGACTAATATACGTTTAAAATTATAAAACAAACTATTATTAAAGCGAGAAGAATAAATGTATGTACTATATCCCTGGTGTGCTGTCTATAACTGCCCAGAACACCTTATCATATCAGACGATTGTCTAATATATGCAAATCTGAGTAAGTAACATGCATTGATTTTAATCTCAAACTTAATTGCATCCGTTGATTCCGCCAGAGCACAAAGTTTCATTGAAATCTGACGGTATTTGGAACAACTAAAATGGGCTAATTTCTGTAAATTTGGTAATTAAAGCGCGGTGGTCGTCGCGCAGCGCGTGATGGAATTTCATGTAAATAAACAATGAATTTTACACACGTTGTATACGTCGCTATGAGTGTCAGGACGCGGCACGACGACTGCCGCCCTTTAATATTCACGGTTTCAACCTTAATCACTTTTGTTGTTTACGCACCAGCACTCACTAACTCTACAGTTGATTCGAGTGAATGTTATACGCTGGCATAATTAATGAGGTCACATAACTATACAGCCAAAACAAAATAAGCTTGGACTTTCAGTTGCAAGACATGACAAAACAAACGCAGCCAGTGATACATTTCGAGAATAAAAAATAAAATAAACGCAATCAAAGGCGCCTCACTCGCGATGAAAATAAATGGAACACGTTACGACAAAGAGTCGCGTCTGTCTCTGTATCAGGGATATTACGGTTGTGCATTTTAATGAGTCACATGGTCATATTTGGTTATGTATGTTATATTAACCGTCTCATGATGATAACACTGCTTGCATTTCCGTATCTGCAACAGTTATACTTATAAATGAGTCATATGACCCCTCATCACCACACTTTTTGTG